CCCTTTTTTATTTACCGATTTTTCTTTTATGTATTTTTTCATTTACCATTTGTTTGAAAAATTTTTAATTTTCCCATTTTCCAATTTCCCTTATTCATTAAGTATTTCCTTATTTTTTAATTTATCACATTCTATTTTCCCCTCTTCGCTTCTGCTTTAATATGATAATGAGGGGCGGGGTCTTCAGGCTACAATGGCAGCCTATTGGTTGGTGAGCGCTGCAGTTGCATCTAACCAACCAATAGGCTGCCATTGTAGCCTGAAGACATCCGAAGGGTTTTGTGTTTATTTGAATCCGTGGTTTATTTTAAACTGATATAGCATCCAACTTAAGCCCTGTGTCTTTTAGGCTTTTTGATGTTTCCTCCTTTTTTCTCTGAACAGGTGTTCATCCAAGCAATGACAGAATTGTAAAGTGCCTTGAGATGACATGAGTTATGAGTTGGTGCTATATGAATAAACTGAATTGAATAATCACAGAAGAGGCATAAAAATGTTTTATTAGATGTCACAAGAGATACGTGATAAATTCGTTTTTACAGCAGACTTAATATTAAGGTTCTCTGAAGTTCAATATTTATTTCAGAAAAACATCAAACAATAACACTTCATACCCCTTTGTTTACATAAGCTACTAATTACTAAAGGAAAGTTGACATACTCTATTCTAACCTGAAGAACAATATGAAATAACATTTTCAGTAAATTAAGTTCACACACAGATTTCTTTTCAAGGTTTCCCCTGCTGAGTAATTTGTTATTACTGTGTAATGCACCCTTGCCGCCGTCCTATTTCAGCTCTTGCCAGTAAAGGTCCGACCTCAGCTATGAGGGCAGTACCTTCCTCCTCATCAAGATCAGCCACTGCATCAACAGCCCGAATGTAGGTGTTATTTGTCTCCCCCTGGCGCCGCTCATCCTCAGCCCTCTGATCAGGGTTTGTTCCTCTCATTTCGGCATTTATTGCTCGTTCTGCGAGCTGAAACATGGAATTACTATAGTAGCCTCTGTTGTTTTTAATTTCTTGAAACCTGGTTATAAGACCATTAACATTATTATTCAAAATGTAGTAACCTGCTCCACAATCTTGAATGAGGTTAAGGAGAACTTGCTCTCTCCTGATGTTTTCTATGTTCCCATGAGTGAACAAGACCATAGTGTGTTTGGCTGCTCCACCTCCAGACAGAGTCTGGATGATTCTCACAATGTGTTCCTCTGGTGGTCTGCACTGATCTGGGTTGATCACAATCAGGAACACATGAGGACCAGGAGCACAGAGGGAGACACATCTGACCAACTCTCTCTTCATTTCACGAGGTGTTAATCTGTTGTGAAACAGACCTGGAGTATCAATTATTGCCAATTCATCTCCAGTGTCTAGGACACGAGTTCCTTTTACACAATGCAAAGTTTCTACTCCACATCTAAAAAAATCTTCCCCTAAGATCCGGTTTCCCACTGAGCTCTTGCCACTTTGAGTCATACCAACAAGCAGTAGAGTGATTTTCTCTTCTTCTGGAGCTGTTAAAAAAAGAAAGGTCTGTTAAAAGTTATTGTTTAAACCAGCTTATTTAAAAAACAAGACACTTTAGTGATCTGATAACTGCAGCTGATCCAGAACGCTGCTGTCTGAGTCCTCACTAGAACTAAGAAAGTTGAGAACATCAGCCCAGTTCTAAAGTCCTTTCTCTGGCTCCCTGCATTGCAGAGAATAGACTTTAAAATCCTTCTGTTATTCTGTAAATCACTGAATGGCTTCAGTCTAAAATACATTACAGACTGATTGACAGTGAATCAACAGCCAGACCTTCCAGGTCAACTGGAGCAGATCTAATCTGCAGAACCAGAACCAGCAATCTTTTAAAAATTAATATTATTTTCCAGTCTTTTTCATGTCTATTGCAGTTTCTGACATCATTCTGTAAAGTGGCTGTTTTTTTTTTTCTATTTTCTCAATTCTTTTTACTAAATTTATATGATTAATTACTGAATAGTTTTTTATGTTTGCAATCTGTTTCTGCTGAGCTTTAGAACTTTTATTTTTTTCACGCATTACTAGATCCTCTATTTACTATTTCTTATTACACTGTCACATCCACACTTGACTTCTACGATACAATAAAAGCTTGTCTTTCTTATAATATTTTTTAAAAATTAGAAATTTGGAAACCTTGGATTAGTTTAAAGTCAAGGTTAAGATATATTTTTTAGAGTTTACTTTAATCTATTTCAACTGTTAAGCGAAATGTAATTTAGATTTCAAGCTCAATTTTTCTTTACCCGCCTTTTTTATGCCACTGCGTCAAACTTTTTAATGTTTTTTTCCAAGTAAACTTTGCAATGTTTCATTACCGAAATGTGCCACATTATATAACCTGCCTTGTCTTTCTAATAGACTATTTTAATTTTAAATAAAATGCTATGAATTAGTTGTCTGATAAACTCATTAGTATGTTTATTCCACATGATTAGAAAAAATTTCAAATTGTTTAATCAGTGTACTCTGCTGTATCGTTATCTCCTATAATATAGATTTAGGAAAACTAGTCAAATACAACTTTTAAATTTACATAAAATGTGTTGAATTCTCTGAATATATTATAAATGTAAGCATTTAAGATCATATTTTTTAGTTTTTAAAAATGCAGTCACAAATTATAACCATCTAAACTTAACATATGTGATCTCTACAGGTTCTTTAGCTGTTTAGTGTCTAATTTTTCATCCATTCTGCCAGGCTTTGTGTTTCCCAGCCACCTGAGTTGCTGTGTTAATGATGACCACTCATCTCCACTTCAACATTATAACCATGTGTTATTTTCTTTCCATCGGCTTTGTTATCAGATGCTTTCATCATTAAACAGAGACATGAATGCAGCATTATGTTGAATTGCACCAACTGCAAAATGCTGATTGCACGCATCTGATTCTCTAATCTTAACCTTTGGATGAAAGCGTTTTTCATTTCTTATAATTAAAAAAGGTGGAAAAAAAACATAAAAGATCCACTAAGGAACATTTAGGAATACAAGCAAAAGTAAAATCCCACTTACACAGCAGAAAATACTATTTTAAAAACTGATTAAAGTATTATTCATATCATTTTGAACTCACCTAAAAGTCTCTGCATCCTTTCTGGGCTGCTGTCTGGTCCTGAGCTCCTGCCTGAACCTTAAGCAGAGGAAATAAGTTTTTACATCAATGTCCGTATAAACAAAGACATTTAATCAATTTATGAAGTTTAGATGCATTCAAAGACAAAAGTTAAGATGCCTAAAATGCTTAACAATGTTAAAACAGATTATCACTATTTTCTAAAACTGAAATAAATTGGTTAATATACACAACTAATTATAGATATCAAAAATTAAATTTCTTATAGTAAGAAATGAATCGTATTCCATAAAAATATAATCTCACATAATGAAATTGATTTAAAGCAGACTAATTAAAATATACAACACATACTTGTTTAAGGAATATTTAGAAATTCATAGGTAAGTAAAATCTTAGATATATTGCATATATATTTTATTTATTTACATAAATTCGAAATTAGATTAATTTGAGCTCACCTTTTGATTTCTGGGCTCTTTTTCTGCTTTGGGCCTGTTCCTTGTTTGTGGCTGAGCCTATAAGTGTTTAAGCAGAAATAGAGGAAAATAAATGACTGTAGGATATTATTCTTTTTCATCATGTCCCTGAAATGAGCTCAATATTTGTTAAATTATCTGATTATATCATAAAGATGCAGTTTGGTAATAAATACCTTCAAAATTAAAGCAGAAAAATAACCTAATTTTGAAAAATTGGACAACAAGAACTTATTCATTGCAACAAAATCAACAAGATCAGCATCATATATAAACTCACCTTTTCTTTTGGGCATATTCCTGGCAGCAGGAGGAGGTGCTCCGATTGTTAAGGTGTTGGTGGTGACCAGCTTGACTCCAATCTCTGTTCTTATATAAAACGCTGATCCCAGTCCCCTCCCATCATGGACCCACAGAAATGTGAATGTTGACATTCATTATGTTGCGGGTCATTTTGACCCGCACTGTGTAAATGCGTGCAAAATAGTCAAGAAAACAGGTTAAACCAATAAATTATTTATTTTAGATTACTTAAACATTTAGTCAAGTCACAAACAATACGGTTTTAATTCACACACTTCATTTAGGTTTAAAATGTTCCCTCTTCACTATTTATTTATTTTTTTAACTTTACCTATAAA